ATGCATTTGAAATAATAACATTTCAAAGTATTATTAAAATAAGTATTTGAAATATTCTACTATTCAAAGTATTATTGAAATAATATTTGAAATAATACTATTTCAAAGTATTATTGAAATAAGTATTTGAAATATACAAGTAAGTATTTGAAATATACAAGTAATGCATTTGAAGTGAGTAGTTATTTGAAATAATACTTATTTCAAAGTATTATTGAAATAAGTATTTGAAATATACAAGTAAGTATTTGAAATATACAAAATAAGCATTTGAAGTGATGGATATTTTAATTAGTTTTATTTGATCATCCCACAAAGTAAATATGTATTAAAACACCCCATTGTACCTTACAGATATATACAATTATTTTTAATCAATTAAAAATAAAATGGGACATGAAAAAAATCTTAAATTCTTCTAGCTTTGTCTGAAATACCCTAAAAATCCAAACCAATGCCTCTCACATCCTGTAACGTTGTCTCAGCATGTCTGTTCATGTTGTGTGACTCTGGAATAGAATTCTAAGAAACATTCTGGCATGGTTCAGCTTGGCTTCCACTCCTTTGCACAAGTTTGTCAGAAATCAGAAATCATTAACGCTGCACTTTGGGTCATCCATCCTAGGATAATTTAATCCTGGATATTGTTGGTTACCCTTGTAAAGAAACCAAAAATATAGCTCAATCATCATGTGAACCTTTGAGATCCAGGTAAAGTTTGACTGAAATCCCAATTCTAGACTTGGGGCAGTCTGAGCTTTTCCAACAAGACCCGCACCTCACTTTCTCAGCTTTTCAAGACTGTACTCCTGAGTCCACAGGCATTTCTCAATTACTTCTCTCATCAGAACCAGATTCAGAGTCCCTTCCCTATGCAACTCAAAAGTACTCATATTTGTGTTAGGCTCTTTCCTGTAAGTTTCTTGAGTTGAGCAGAAGAATCACATGACATAAGGCACATTTCTATTTCTTGCTGGCAAAACTTTCTCTGGCCTCTCTACTCAGTACCCGGTGCTCCCTCTGTGATGTCCTCCCTCCATCTAGTGCAGGTGGGTAAAGTGTGGTCCTGTTCCTTGCTCTGGCGGCTTCACTTCCTAGGAATAACCAGACACATTGATCTGCTTTCCCCCACATAAGTTAGAATGCTGGTGAATAAATTTCTCTTTATACTATTTTCAATTTATATTTTTATGGAACACATGATTTATGTATGAACATAGGAACACACTTACTGCCTTATCTGCATATTATAATCTGTGTTTTTATTGGATCTTGGTGATCATTTTTATCATTCCTTATGTTTTACTTGTGGAACTGAGGTACACGGAAATAAGTTTATTCAATTAATTATACTCCTGTGTGAGGGGAAAATATTATCAAATAAAGCACTTTCTCTTTCTCCCTCTCAGTGTGATCCCACCTCCTCAGTCCCACATGCTAGTTGTAAGTGGTTTAATCTATCAGAGTATATTCTGTTCACATAACAGGATATCAGAGGTACTTCGGCCCAGTACTAATAAGCATTACACAAAATCAGGCCCTGTGTTAGTTTCTTTGCAGTTTCCCCTGTTTTCCCTTCAGGGTCACAAAATGTCTACAACAGCTCCTAGCATCATGCACAATACAGAATAACACCTAACACAGGATGAAGAGGGAAGAACCTCTCTTCATGAATCTCTCTGTTCTTATCAGAGAGGAGGTCTCAGCAGGCTTCTCCTCTATTCTCAGTGCCCAGAATCAATTCAGGGGCCCAAACTTAACAGGCAAAGAAGACATTAAACGAAGAGTCTGGCATTTAAAACCTCTCCAGAAAGAGACAGGTTCCGCCTATAAGGGAAAAATGTAGCAAATTAGCTTGCGGGGAGGCAAACATCTACATGTGTTTAAGGCATCATATGATTACACCACATTTTATCTATTATTTAACTGATGGTCAGGTACATAGTTTTCAGTCTTTTGGTATTACCACAATTCTGAAATAAACAGACTAGAAAATTTCTCCTTTTGTTATTTATGTGTAAGGATTTCTCTGTAATATACAATATATACCTAGAAGTAGAATGTCTGCAAAGTAAGTCTGTACATTTTCTATTAAATATGACCAAACTGTTTTCCAATGTAACTATCTTAATTCATATTCCTTCTAGTGGTTCATAAAGACTCTGATTTTTTCATATCTTCTTTTAGAGTTGATATTCAAATTTTATTTTGTTTTTGCAATGAGAAAAATGAAAAGTGTCTACTCAGTATTATTTGTATTTTTCTTATTACTAGTGAGGTTAAGCATCTTTTTATGAACTTATTGGTATTATTGTCTACTCTTTGGCGAATTGCCTGCTCTTTTATTTTCCTGTTTTTAAAGTTTTTTAATGAAACACACAAACACACACATCAAGAAAGATTAATATCTAGAAACACCCTTAATTTATTATATATGTGAGTATATATACATATACACATATATACTGCATATTATCATCTATGTTTTTATTGGATCTTGGTGATCAGTTTTATCATTATCATTTATCATTAATATATATGTGTATATATACACACATATATACACATATATAATAAATTAAGGGTGTTTCTAGATATTAATCTTTTATATATAAATATATGTGTGTACATATGTGTGTGTATATATATGTGTGTGTGTATATATATAAAATGTTTGCTTGACAATAGTAAAATCTAGAATCGAGCAAGTTATTCCTACCAAATTTGCAAATAAGATACAACAGTCTGCCTCCATCAGGCAGAAGTAAATAAAGTATTAGAGGAAACTAGGAGTATGCTCAGGGATAAGAAAAAGACAAAATCTCTAACAGTGAAGATTGTAGATGCCTACAAACACAAATTGGCATTCCTTTTCCCAGTGGGACATTAAGAAAAAAACTGGTGGGCCTTCCCTCATGTCTGTCTGAGAAGGGCGAAAGAGAACTGTAGAAATGACAGAGTAGAGAGGGGAAACAGCATGGGCCAGCCTGCCATTGATCATCTTTACTGAAAAGAATGCCTGAGTTTGCCATAGATCAAGTGTACACTGCAGAAGGCAGCTGAGCTTCAGTCACCTTGCCAGCACCTGACCAACCAGGACTAGTTAATGAGCAACAATCCCCTGTCTGATAAGGGAAAGGGTGTGAGCTAAAGGAGAGTGGAAGAAGGCAAACCAGAATTGGGATCACTGCAATGAGGAGACCCCAGAGGTGGCCCCAGAAGGTTCACATGTGCACATGGTAAAAGAGCCAGACTCTCAGCTCTGAACCCCAGGGAAGATCAGTCACCAGTCTAAGGACACTCTGTATGTCTCACCTTCAAACTTTCCCAAAAAAGAGTATCTGGGTTATTTAATCAGCCACTATCACATAGAAAACACTCCAGTGGAATAGAGTAGTGCCAGGCCATCTCTCACACTGCAGGCCAGTCTATGAGGGGCTGCTTTGGACAGAAACTCATTCCTGTTCATACTGTTGTGGCTGGAATCCAGTCATGAGGGGTGTAGTATGGTTGCCACACTTTCGGAACCCCTCAGACAGTGATTGAGAGCATCACAGTCCTTCCAAGTTTACTCAGAATGGGGCAGTGTATACAGCTGGCAACATGCTCAGTGTATTCAGGACATAAGGCAGAGGTTAATGCTATTATTGCATGTTTCACATACCAACATTTAATATCTCATCTTTCTCTCTTCTTATGTCTGGATACATCTCAACCAATTCACCTTTTAATAATATTGTTTTGTCATCTCAGTTTTTTATTTCCTGTTTCTTGCATTTTATTGAGAATGCAAAGCAGATGCTTCTTACATTTAATTCTGTTTTCTGGTGTAATTTTTTAAGCTATTGCTTACCTTTGCATCATGAGTTCAGTAGTGTCTTGTTTTGTGTTCAAGAATTCTAAGCTTCATGTTTGCTTGCTTCTGTGTTATCTTCCTTGAATAACTAGAAGTCCATACAGACTCCAAATTTATTATACATAAGGTCAATGACTTTCACTTTGTCTCTGTCACCAACTAGCAAGTATTAGAATAACCTCTCATTTCTGAAGTCACTTATTACATATTTGGTGTCTATTTGGAAGAGTTGTCCTGAACTGAAGGAAAACATATTTCTTTTATAGCCTTCTTCCAGAGCTATGAAATGATTCCTGCACATTTGGAAGTAATATGCTTTACTAGTGGCAAGAGGGTCCTCTTTCAATTCTTCCTGAGCAATGAGAGCAGTGATAAAAAGAACCTAGCCATGTAAGAGAGAAAAAAAAAAAAAACACAAAAACCCACTGATGTTAATGGGACAAGAACAATTCCTGAAAATACATAAGGTATATGCTCAAAGCATTGGAACTGGCAGAAGAACAATAGCTAAGAGGGGCTGTGTGTGGTGTTTTATCTGCAGTTTGATTTCTCTGAGTGGGGGAATTCAATGGGCAGTAATGCGAGTGGCCTGCATTGGATGGAAATACTTGAAGGTCTGGAGTTCAGCAATTTTGTGGAATTTCAGAGGAAATTCCCTCTGAATTTTTATTTACCCTCACACTTTGATTGTAGCATCCACCACTAGCTGCCATGAGAACTGGGAAGATAGGGCTTCTGAGGTTCGCTTTGGTACTGCACTCAACAGAGCAAAAACATCATCCAGGACATGAACGAACAGGGAAGGATTCATCTTTCCTGTGGCTCAAATTTTAGGTTAAAAGAGTGAAGATGTCATTTAACGATGATAAGGAAGTAAGCTAAGGGCACCTCAGAAAAAAAGGAAATAAACATGGTTAGGAAATACGTATGCCTTTTTGGAATAATCAAATCATCTCAGGAGCAGGAATCCACATTTAAACAATATTTCCCTACATTCAGATGTGATAGCAACCAGCAAGCAAAGCATAAACAAATTCTATGGATAGGAAAATGACAAAATTAAAAATGAGCTTGGTAAAATTTGCTTCCAGAGGGAGGGGTTTTCTTGTACCAGACAATGGTGGAATCGGGAACCCATTCTCTACCTGGAAATTGGTACAGAGATTCAGTCTTTGTCCAGGAAGACACTTTGAAGTAGAAGAATGATACCCATCCAACTCAGTGTCTTCTTCATGATCATCTACGTGCTTGAGTCCTTGACAATTATTGTGCAGAGCAGCTTAATTGTTGCAGTGCTGGGCAGAGAATGGCTGCAAGTCAGAAGGCTGATGCCTGTGGACATGATTCTCATCAGCCTGGGCATCTCTCGTTTCTGTCTACAGTGGACATCAATGCTGAATGATTTTTGCTTCTATTTTAATTTTAATTATGTACTTTGCAACTTAACAATAACCTGGAAATTTTTTAATGTCCTTACATTCTGGTTAAACAGCTTGCTTACCATCTTCTACTGCATCAAGGTCTCTTCTTTCACCCATCCCATCGTTCTCTGGCTGAGGTGGAGAATTTTGAGGTGGCTTCCCTGGCTATTACTGGGTTGTTTGATGATTACTTGTGTGACAATCATCCCTTCAGCTATTGGGAATTACATTCAAATTCAGTTTCTCACCATGGAGCAGCTACCCAGAAACAGCACTGTAATTGACAGACTTCAAAAGTTTCATCAGTATCCACTCCAGGCTCATACAGTCGAGTTGGTTGTTCCTTTCATCCTGTTCCTGGCCTCCACCATCATGCTCATGGCATCACTAATCAAGCAGATACAACATCATGGCACTGGTCACTGCAATCCAAGCATGAAAGCGCACTTCACTGCCCTGAGGTCCCTTGCCATCTTGTTTATCGTGTTTACCTCTTACTTTCTAACCATACTTATCACCATAATAGGTACTCCATTTGATAAGAGATGTTGGTTATGGGTCTGGGAAGCTTTTGTCTATGCTTTCATCTTTATGCATTCCACTTCACTGATGCTGAGCAGCCCTACATTGAAAAGGATTCTAAATGGAAAATGCTAGGCCTAGAGGTTGCCTGAGGCACAGGGTACAAGACTCCCGGGCAATTGATATAATTAATACCAGTAAAGAGTATTGCTCTTATCAATCAATTCATTGTGAATCACCATGAATGCAAGCCTCATTCTCTTCCATCTTCGCAGTCATCTATTTCTAAATAATCAACCCTTTCTCCAACCTTTTCCACTGGTTTCCTTTCCCTTTCCCTTTCACAATCCTCAGGTTGGTTCCAACTTGCTCAAGACTGCCCCATCTCTCCTTAGTCCTTGCCAACTCTGGAATCGTATACCTGGTATATTCTACACAAGACAGTCAAAATCATGGTGTCCACACATTACTCTAACCTTCCCATGACTGCCAGTTACTTCACACATGAATATGAATACCATCCCACAAAAACGTATTGCTCGTACCCTGAATGCTTCCCATACTAAGCCTTCAATTCACTTTCTTTAGTCAAGGGGTGTCCTCTCTCTCTCTCTCTCTCTCTCTCTCTCTCTCTCTGTCTCTCTCTCCCTCTCCATCTCTCTCTCTTTCTCTATCCCCTGGCTGTTTCTGGACTTTTATCTAAAGATACAAATTTTTTTATTTGCTTCTCTTCCAAATGTCATGTCTTTATCTCTTTAAAATTTAAGTCAAAATTTAACTCTTTCTTCATTTCCATTAGCCAAAACATTATACTCTTCCCCAGAATAGCAGACAATTTGCCCAATCCAGATTCATCCTTAATACCTCCCCAAATATTGATTTAATTGTGTCAACTATAAAACTATAAATGGTTTCCATTGGCTCAATTCTTGCCTCTCTATTGTATTATAAGTTGGAGTTAACTTGATGGAACATCTCTATATTGAGACATAGTTGATTTTTTTCCCATATACAATCTAGATGTCAGCTAAGAACCACTCTTAGCTCATAACATCTGAATGGCATTGGCTTACACTTTCTACACTTTTTTATTCTGTCCAAAGCCCTCCCAAAATGAATAAGAATACAGAAATCACACAGTAATCAGTGAAAAATCACCTATAAGACATACTCATTCTTTTGATGTTCTTTCTGCCTCCCTATCTGACAGCTTTCTCTCATACCTTCTTCCCTTGCAGGACCCCATGTTGCCTTATCTCGAAGGTATCTCACTCCTCATTTATCTCCTCTTCACCCTTACCTACCAGCAGCTATGTATCTTGGTAATTTCCAACCACTAGGCCTTTGGGTCTCAGCCTCTGTCCACCCCAGATAGTTATTAAGGTATTCTTCTTAAAGTCAGTTGCATCTCTTACACCATTCTGGTATCAAGTGTTAATAATACGATGTTTTCTACCCTTTGTATATATTGGACATGTCTGGTGAACTTCTAGTTCTGCCATTAAAAGATTGAAACACCTCCTGAAAGCAAATCATCCTATGGGGAAAAGGATGCAAGTATCTCAAGCTTGACTGTGAAAGAATGGCTTAGTCCTGGAAAGGAATGGAAATTCTGATCTGCTTGTGGGTTTATCACTCTGATTTGTCTCTGAGTCAAATTCATATTTGAAACTGAGGGTGTGAAACATAAGTGAAAACTGAAAGACCACTTTTACCAAAGACTCTGTGCCATTTGGCATATCTCAGCAGCATTCCTACTGTTGTACAGAGAAGGGAGTGAAGCATGCTGTCCCACTCCACAGAAGCACCCTGTCAGCCTTGGCATCTCCGTAGGGCCAACGGTTTCACTGCAGTAGAATGTGGAACAAAACCTGGTGGATGCAGTAATGGCTGGGGAGCAGAGTCCTAACCATGGGTCTGAGAAGAAAAAAGGAAAAAAAAAAAAAAAAAAAAAAAAAAAAAAAAAAAAAAAAAAGGTAGATATTGGCATTGAGTTGACTCCCAGGAATGCTTAGGAGGCTGGTGGGGAGGTGGGTTATAGGGTTTGGGATCCTGCTGGAATAGATTGAACAAGAGCCAGTGAAATTAGGATTCTATTGCTATTTGTCACTAGTATCCACAGCCAGATGAGGTCTTGCATGTTCAAAAACCTCAGATAGCTGAAATAAATAGAAACCGTTCTTCTCATATGTGTATAAATAGAGAACAGGAAAAAAAGAACACCCCCTCTCCCCACAATCACACACACAGACACTATTCCAGAAGCTGTTAAATATTTTTAGTACTCTCACTGTCTTCTTTTGAGTAAAGTGCAATGGAAAACTTATCCAGGATATGCATAATGTGGGAGTGTTAGAAGCAGTTGAAGGGATCCAGAAATCAGAAAAACATAAAATACAAACAGAAATAATAACTAACCTTTATATTAATGGCACCTAATAGTTCACAAAAAGATTTTACTTACGTTTTCTTATTTTGGACTAAAAGACAAATCAAGGTCACTTAATCCAAACTAGTTGGAAAATAAACCTAATAAGGTCAAGTGATTCACTTAAATTAACACTGCTGGTTAATGCCAAATCTGAAGTCAATGGAAGAGGAGAGGGAACCAAGAGATAAATTTTAAAGGAACAAAAAATTTAATTTGGAAAAACATATGATTTAAAAAGCAGATGCTGGCCAGGCACAGTGGCTCACGCCTGTAATCCCAGCACTTTGGGAGGCCGAGGAGGGTAGATCACCTGAGGCAGGAGTCTGGGACCAGCCTGATCAACATAGTGAAACCCCATCTCTACTAAAAATACAAAAAAAAAAAATTAGCCAGGCATGGTGGCAGGAGCCTGTAATCCCAGCTACTTGGGAGGCTGAGACAGGAGAATTGCTTGAACCTGGGAGGTGGAGGTTGCAGTGAGCCAAGATAGTGCCATTGCACTCCAGCCTGGACAACAAGAGAGAAATTCTATCTCAAAGAAAATAAATAAAAAGGAGATGTTTTGAAAAGAATTACAGAAAGATTGTGACCAAAAGCTAGGAAATTTTTTTGACAGCTTCCTTTAGCTAGATATGAAATTAAGATACCCAGGAGCCAATGCACCTGTGTTGTTCAATTTGTAAATACTTTATCCTATATAATGCTTTTTATTCATAGTATAGTGTGTTGGTTGATAACTCACAAACACACACACACAGGAAAAAAAAAAAAAAAAAACAAGAAGGAGAGGATGTGATAGGGGAGTGAAATAATTTACCCTACTTTCTTCCCTGCTGTTCTCCAGCCTCTATACCACACCATTAATATAAGAAGAGAAGAAGCCATTAATTGGGTATGAGATTAGTGTTTGATTTAGAATCTTTAAAGTCTAAACAGGAGAAAATTCTTAGAAAGCTATGGAATCTATAATGCCATCAAGGACTGGGAAAGGGTCATTTTAGGAATATTTTTGAACACAGAAGTCAGAGAAAAATTTGTTTCTTTGGAGCACAACCTATTCAATAACTTTGTTACAGGAGACAAAAAAGTCAGTAAAATGTGAAATGCCTCTACATTTTCTCTGAGATTGCTTGTCAGGTATCGTGCATTGCATTCCACTTATTAAACAAATTTTCTTTCTTTCTCAGAAAGCGCTAAACCAGATGAGATCAGGCACATTCAGGGTGGTATGGCCAAGTGCAGTGGCTCAAGCCTGTAATCTCAGCACTTTGGGAGGCCATGAGGAGAGATCACATGAAGTCAGGAGTTTCAGACCAGCATGGCCAAAATGGCAAAACCCTGTCTCTGTTTAAAAAACAAAAGTTAGCTAGGCATGATGGTGGCGCCTGTAATCCCAGCTATGCAGGAGGCTGAGGCGGGAGAATCCCTTGAACCTGGGAGGCGGAGGTTGCATTGAGCTGAGATTGCGCCACTGCACTCCAACCTGGTAAACAGAGCAAGACTTTTTCTCAAAAGAAAAGGAAGGAGGGAGGGAGGGAGGGAGGAAGGAAAGAAGGAAGGAAGGAAGGAAGGAAGGAAGGAAGGAAGGAAGGAAGGAAGGAAGGAAGGAAGGAAGGAAGGAAGGAAGGAAGGAAGGAAAGAAGGGTTAAGTCAAAGGCCAAAGAATGTAGACAGTGCAACATTAAATTTGGGGATTCATCACAATATCTTTCCATACCTAAGAAATTTTAACATAAAGTTCTCTTTCCATTCTGGCATTTGAGTTTATATTTTGTTAATGATGTAGGTTCTTATTGTTCTTGTATTTGTATTGTAAATTACGGCAAATTCTTTTTGTACTTGATCTTGCTGGTTTAAAAAGGTGAAGAAAGAGCAAAAGAAAAGAAAGACTACCAAGGATAATGATATGAGTAGCACTGCAGCAATAAAACAATAATGGCATAACTAAATGATAAACTAATGTTTTAAATTATCCAGATTTACTTTTGTTCCAGAAATGCATATTAAAGAACAGAATTTTGGAAATGCTTATAAAGTCTAGAGGAGTATGTACTTTCAATTGGTATAATTCAATGATTTCTGTGTCTATTAATAATGTCAAAATTCTTCCTAATAGAACGGAAAATGCAGCTTCTTTGGTCTTTCTACACAGATATTTTAATACAATCCCTGAGACTTATTTACAATCCATTAGCCATGTCTGAAACTCCCAAAGTAACATTTATTTGAGACCATTTTTTCTATTTTTAATAAAACTTACAAAACTGATGCTAAGTATAAACTGGCTTTTTGCTAGTTTTGATAGCAAATATATAGTAGGATAAACTCAATTGCCAAGTTGCTTCAAATCATTTGTGGGATAAAATTTATAAAAAGTGACAGGCTATACTGGTTGAATAAAAGATAAATTTCTTATCATAAACTATTTTCTTCAAATTTTAATCTAAATGCAGGATTTTCAAAAAAATGAACTTTTATTTTTAAAATATGCTACATGCAAGTAATTCAAACCCAGCCAAAGTGCAGTCAAAATGACTGAGAATAATCATTCGCATTTGCAGGGGAAAATAGATCTTAAAATTTAAGTTTAAAATTAGAGGCAAGATAAATTTCACAAGCTTCATTCTTATAGCCTAAAGATAGACTGTGTAGGTAGATATTTCTTGAGAATCTTGGCAGATCAGTGTTGTCAGTACTTGAGGGATTGAATCAGGCTCACTCCAAGAACTTGGAAATAAGATTGTCTTTTGATGGGTAAATCAAGAAATCAACTTCCCTTCCTACTTCTGCCCTAAATGAATCAATCTAAGAATTAACCAGAAAATGGGTGGCTAGGAGGTTTTCCAGTTAAATCTCAGGATTTAGGTCAAAGCAGAGTCCAGGTTGGAGTAAATTACCTAGAAAGAGAAGTAAAATAGGTCTCAAAATAAACTTTAACAAGCAGATGGAAAGGTTATAAATGCCATTATGTTCATCCAGACCTGCCCAGGGTAGGGGGCTGTTGGGTCAACCAACTTGAAGCTTTCTAGTCCTAGTGACAAGTCCTTCAAGCTGTTATCTGAGGAATTCATCACAAGGTCATATAAATTCCTTCATCTCTTATGCAGTCTGCCCTCGCCCACTCATTTGATTATGATTTGGCATTTCATGTTGTGATTGTGTATCCAGGCAAATGGAAGATGCAAAACACACGTGCATATGTGAGGAT